AGAGCCATGGTAATCAGTTACCTATATTTACATTCATTCCTATGGGCAAATGGGTTTCACTTAGCGCGATTTCGCTCAGCACTTGTTTTTTCTGGAACCAATGAAGAGCGCTAAGCAAGGGTTGCCTGTAGTTACAGGAGAGGTCTCAAAGACTCATTGGAGTAAGCATTTGCAGTTTGATAACCAGTTTTCAAAGTGATCCAGTATTCCTATATTATGGTAAGTTCATACATGCAAAAATAAGGAAAATATTGGCAAAGCTGCCCATTGTCTCCTGAAGTGTAGTCAAAGAAATTTTGCTCAAAGAAATTGACCAGCTGGTACTTTACCAATAAAAAATTTCTCCAGTAAACTGTATTTAGAATCATCACATGTACAGTTTTCTTAGACCACTGGTTCTCAAACTTTTTTAGACTCAAGGCACCCCTTGATATATTCAAGACGCCCCTTGTCAGAAGCAATTCACCTGTCATTAGACCCAAAGCACCCCTCAGAAAATGCTAGGTCATAGTTGTCACTCATTGTTTACAACATAAAAATAAAAAGCAATTATTCTATTGCAAAGAAAGTTCACAAGAAGTCAGAATGGTTGTAACATTATGGTATGCATATTTGAAACTTCTGGGTTTATCCTGTGAACTGTGTTTGCACACCTAACAATGCTAATATTGTGTAGCACCCCACACCACCCTCAACCATGGCACCCTGGTTGAGGATCATTCTCTTAGATGTTTGGCTAAATTTGTTTGTAACTCACTGAAAATGAGTGCTATCTCATTTGCCTGTACAGTTCATTTATGTGTGTCCTAAATTCTTAACCTGGATGGAGATAAGCCTCTCAGAATTTTCTTCTGTGGCACGCTACAAAGACAAATGTGAACTAGTGAATGTTTGACTTACCTTAATATGAAAGGGAAAGGAGAATGTTATTCAAAGAAACAAATAGCTAACTTGTAGAAACCTAGAAACTAGTTAATACCTTGTAACAAGTCTGAAATAAAGATGTTCAACCAAGAAAATGACATTAAGCAGCACTAGCTACAGCAAAAAAGAGCAGCTTGTCAGAATCATATGAATGTTGTAGTGACATATAGACAATAAAATGGGATGACACAGGCTCTTCTCGGTGGGAGTGTTTTCTCCTTCTGTCTCTTGGGAGTTTCACTGCACTCCCTTTGTAGGAAACCTTTCCACTAAAAGTGGCAGCAAGCCCTTCAGAGGTCTTATTAAAATTCTTCCTCTGTGCTGTAAAGTATGTTGTATAAGGCAGATGACAGTACCCTAACAGTTAATGCTGTATAGTGTAAAGGGAAGTAGCAGAGGTAGTCATACCAGCTACTGACATATTCTGGTAAAACTGCACAGTTGGCATCTTGGAACAGGAAATTAATCAGGAGGGAGAATCAGCTCATAATCCCGTGTCCAGCAAGTATCTAAAGTTGTTATTTATTATTTGCAGTACGTAGCACCAAATGTGTATTTCACAGACAAAGATGAGGGCAAGGTCTTTGCCCTGGAGAACGTACAATTTATGCAACTGACCCTGCAAGATGCTCAGGGTCTCCTGGGAACAGCTGAGCAACTTCAGCTCTCACTGAACATAATCTTGGCACATCTCAGGCCTCTCTTACCTTTTGACCCCTAGGGTGTTCATCTTGAAAGGAGGGTGAGAAAGATTTGGCTCTTGGCATATGATCACAGACAAGTAAAGGTCCTTTATCTCCCTCCACTTCAAGTTTTTACAGCCATATGCTACTAATACCTACCAACCTAACAGGAGAGCTCTGGAAATTCATCTTTTGTGGGGGGTTGTGAAACATCATGGATTGAAGTTCCACAAATAAGCAGAAAACACCTAGATCCCAGACACTCCTACATCTCAGCTATCTCCAGAATAGCACAGCTTTGAAGGACAACTGGTGAAAGCTGGAACACTCAGTACCCTGCGGCCCAAGCACCTAAATCCTAAATGGCACATATCAAAGCTAGCCCTGAGACTACCATTCTCCTTTGTTACCAGGACCTACTCAAAATAATTGCAATCATCAGGAACAATGGAACTGTCAGTGATGAGAAAGAGACTTTTGAGTGCAGGGGCAGAGATTTCTCAGTAGCTGGTTTATAGTTACCAGAAAAAAATTAGAATAATTATTGAATCTCACTATCTTTGGAAGGCAAGGTAGGGTCTACAAGAATGCTAGATAGGTTTGGGGAAGGAAAAGAAGGGACCTCTCACAACTGGCTCTTGGAGAAGGTGGAGAATAGTTCAGATGCCACTGTGATTAGCATGGAAAAGATAGGTGGGTAGGTATGCAAGAGGAAGGATTGTTGTGAGTGATATCTTTTAACAAACCAGCTATAGAAGACCGAGCATCTGAGGCCATCAGATGCAGCCCCTGGTTGCACTGGGTGGTTAGGCACAAAGAAATTAGCTATGGTTCCTGGACTGTCAGATTTTCTTTATGCTCCCTAGCATAGTTTTTAGCTAATGATCGAAAACCTTTCTTGCTTTATGGCAACAATTCAAAATCAGGACTAATCCAATAAAATTTCTCATGTGTCTTAGTCATAGGAGCATAGACTGTTCATGAGTAAACGTTGAAGAAATGGGCCTTAAATACTGGACATGAAAATATGTTTTTCTTTATAATTATTTAATGGCCACTGTATTAGCAATGGGAGACAAAAACTTCTCATTCTCAGTGTACTCTTAGTCCAGGTAATTTCATGAAAATGTGTACGTACAAAATAAGCAACAATATTTTGCTTTGCTTTTAAATATAAGCCATTTACAACATTTTTACTTCAGAAGTATGTGAGAGGTCAAAATCTGGATTTCAGCAAATGTTCAATATATTAGTTAAATTGGTTGGCATATGTTAGAACCTTTTATAGATCTAAAATTCTAAAGGTTAAATTTGGGTAGTTTTCAAGATATGGTTTTCTTATGAAAAAATAGTAATATATGGCTATATTAGTGCAACTTCCGAGAAACTGAATTCCCAGATGCAGGAGGATTTTGCCTACAAATTTACAGCACAATGCGGCTCAGGTGTATTACACCCAAATCTAAGACCTGAGTCTGCAACCCTTACTTATGCAACTAATCCTTACTTAGGCAAGTAGTCCCGAGAGTTTTAATAGGACTTCCCACATAAGTAAGGACTATTCAAATGGGTAAAGACTACAGGATCAGGCTAAAATCAATATCTTTTCTACAGCTGCTAATCAACACCAATCCTGCTTTCTCAGGCACCAATTCCAATGATAACACCAATTGATATTAACAAGACTACAACACTGCTACATGCGTCCCTAAAAGAAAATTCTGTCAATGCTGCCCATTTAACCAGTATGTACAAGCTACTCTAATTACCTCCCTCTTCTTGCCTCTGACACTAAAATCAGCCAGATGAGCATGCTGCCCTCTTCCCCCCACCCAAAAAAAAAATCTCCATTCTGGATGCCACAGCCTGAAAAATACTTTAGCTTTTTTTTTTCTTTTTACAATTATGATTAGTGATTCTGTGTGCCTTCACTTTTGAATAACTATGTTGAGATGCACTTAAGAAGCCCAGTTCTTCAAGGGCAGGTGCTTGATGCTCTCTGAAAAACAAGGACTTCAAGCTGGGCATAAAAACCCGAGACTCATGTTATCACATTTACAAAGCAATCAGCACCCACAATGGGGGGCCAGAGTTTTGGAAAAAACTCATCACCTCGCATCACCCATTAGTCAAGTTGGCAAGTAATGGTAATAACAGGGAAGATTAACACAAACAGTCCATATAATTAATTTTCCTGCCTTATACTGTGCAACCAACTAACTGCTATATGTGGGGTACAGTGCTATTACAGTTGTTTTGGACATAGGAGCTGACTGATTTTTGCCAGGGGGTGCTTTATTATGTGTTCCCATGCTGAGCCCTGTGTATACCCAGAAGAGGCAGCGTGTTACTTCAACCTGGCTTGCCCAGTGTGGCTCATGGGTGCTGAGGACCTGCTAATTTTTTTGGTGGGTGGGCGCTGGAGCTGGAGCACCCACAGAGTCAGTACCTATGGTTTTGGGGCTCTCTTTCCAAATATCTAATTATCATATATCTACAATGTGGCTTTAGGGGACAGGACTAGGAGTAATGGATTCAAGCTGCAGCAGAGAAAAATTTGTTTGGAGATTAGAAGGATCTTTCTGACTATAAGGGTAGTTAAGCACTGGAACAGCCTACCTAGAAAAATTGTGGAATCTCAATCCCTGGACATTTTCAAAAGCAAACTGAACAGACACTTGGCTGGGATGGTTTAGTCAGAGGTGATCCTGCCTTGAGAATGGAGCTGGACTAGATGACCTTGTGAGGTCCCTTCCAGCCCTACTTTCCTGTGAACACCTTTTTCCATGCATGACTGCCACTGGGAGAAGGGTTCACTTTTCAAATCCTCATTCTCCACAAAATACTGTCCATCACCATCTCTTCTGCAATAGTACATTTTTTCTGAAGTCTTATTTTATACACATCTTATTTTATATGCATCTTACATTGCATCTTTTTGGATCTTCTCCTCTTTCATCTGTCCCCAACTCTTGTGGCCTGAATTTGCTTTCCTATGTATTCTTCAGGAGACATGCCCAGACTGTCTCACTCTGAGTGTCTGTGTTGTAGTCAGAATCAATCAGAAAACTTTTAAAACTGTAGATATGTATAATCTGAATCTAGAAATATGAGAAAAAATGAAAATGAGTATATAACAGGCAAGGATTTTTGTGGGTGATATCTTTTATTGCACCAACTCCATGGTTGGGACAGACTTAGACAAGCCTTTGAATGTAGAGCATTCTTCCTGGACCCTAACTGATACAATATCCCTTGAACACTGCTTGAAAATGAGTGTGTCTATAGGTTGATGTATTATTATTATTATTCATTATTGTACATTCAAAAACTGAGGACCTAAAGAAAAAGTAGCACCTTTAAGTATGCCACTTCATTGCAACCTACTTTTGTCAGATACTATGATTGGTCCATTTGACCACAGCATCCAACAGAGTATATTTTTGCTTATCAAAGCTCTATGAACCAATTGGTCTCTTCGCGTGATTTTAGATGAATGTGGATTACAATCATAAATAATTAATCAAAAGTTCATCTAATAACCACTGCATAAATAAAAATACATTTTCCTTGTATTAGAAGCTCATTCTTTGAAAATGTCCCTCACTTCAAAACAAACTTTTGTCTATTTACAGGCAAAAACTAATTTCATTCAAACAGGCCACCTCTTTGTTCAAACAAGAAAGCGAGTTTTACCCTGAGGAAACAGACCTTTTCAACTCCCATGCAAATGATGTACAAGATGACTCTAACAAAACGGTGACAATCCATAATGTAAACAAAATCCCAGTCCAATTAAAACCAATAAAAGTTTTGTCTCTGACTTGAATTAGCCCAGGATTTCATCCTGTATTCCCTAACCAGTTCTATACTCTTATTTGTATTACCCCTTGCGCACAAATTATAACTGTGGGCATATATACATTTGTATTCTCTGGCTATAATATATCTGAAGCAAAGATGAATTTGTTTGGAAGTTAAGTTCAAAAGACTTAATTAACTTACACACTCTTTTTGCCATCCTTTGTATGTTAACAATCTTAAAACAAAATAAGAACTTGACCTTAAAGTTTTTATGCCAGGTGATTTTTGGGGGGGGCTTAACTATCACTTATAAAAACCCTGTCCTTTTGCTACTGTTTATAACCACTAAGTTCCATTTAGTGACCATCCAAAGTAATGGATAGTGTTAGGAAAATAATGTGAATTATTTTGAATATGTTCACAGGAAAGAAATCAAAGAGGGTGAAAACAGTTATAAACACAGTACCTACAAATAAACAAAACCTTAAAAATGCTTGGTTTTGGTGTTTTTTAAACAATGTTAAGCTTGAACATATGTCAGCACATTTAATTTAACAAGGAATTTAGTTATGCTTGATCAACATTTAACAAGAGGAACATTTGGGGAAAATGTTTAGTTACAGTATAACCTTAGTGGTTTGCTGCTCTTGATCACTAAGCAAAGCAAATACAGAATCTGTGAGGCGATTGTTGGGACAGGTCCATGCAAAATTGTGAAAGATAAATGACTCTCTACCTTTGGGGAAATATGATCTCTATAGCGTATGTTAAGATTAACTCATCAGGAAGCAATGAGAAAAAGATATTCTTTCAAGGGGTATGATCAACTTGTAATCTGGTCTTTTTTAATCAAAGCAATAGTTAAAACTATTATCTGTATGATTATCTGACATTTATAACAGCAGCTTAAAGGCCACCATTGTGCAAGACTATCCCAACAAGCCCTCCTCAAAGAGCTTACAGTTTAATATACTTTGGTACCATATCTGCTCTGAAGTACCCTTGTCAAATGCTGTGCTTATACAGTCGTATTTGCCCATTTAAAATATTTTTCCTCCTTTGTTATTGTGTGGAAGACCTACACAAACACAAAGGGAAGCTCACAAATGGACTCTATCAAGGACGGATTACAAGGTACTAAACGCATCAAGCGTGCAAGACACGAAAACTTGAAAAACCAAAAAGGAAGAAAAGGAAGCAATCTTTTTTTCTCCTCTAACCTCATTCAGTAGATTATACATGTTACAGCAGTACATAACTTTACAGGCAGAAATGTGAGTTTTAAGTTGATGGGGGTCTCATTAAAACATTTAATGGCGCTTCTGAAGACTTTATCCATGTTCAGCGCAGTAATTTACAAATTGATGAGGAAAGAAAAATGGTCTAAGGCCATTTCTTGACAGTCAGGATATCTTATTATTATAATGGTAGTGCCCAAAAATGACCATGGAGAGTACACATATATATAGTAAGAAATAGTCTCTAAGTAGAGAAGAGAGAGTAATATAGTCTTCTGTTTTCCAACTGGGAAACTGAGGCATGGAATGATTGTGACTAGCCAAGGTTACTGGGGAAATCCATAGACAAGGCAGGACTTGAGCCTAGTTTACATGCCTTCCCTCTCTCCTGAGAGGAGGGTTCATAAGTAATGTACACAGCGTGACCGGGACACAGATTAAATTACAGATGATCTCAAAGGATTCATTATCTTTGTACAGGATGGCATGTAACCCACCAAGGAAACCTGTCTAAGAGATAGTAAGTATGCTCCAGAGAAGGCCAGGCTCCATTACACAATTATGAGTTACCCCAGTACGGTCTCTTACAATTAAAACATTATCCCAACTCCCTTTTGTCCTCATAAAACTAGAATATCCTTTAGTAACCTCTGACTCTTAGGTTCCCTGTGCTCATACACAATATGATCCACAGAGGCCCCCTCACTTTTTAAGCCTCAAACTTTGACAAGGCCATGAAGCCCCGGGTTGGGACTATGGCCCTCTCCCTACCCTCTTTACCTCAAGATAACTGCACTCACCTAATTGCAACCAATGTTTTCCTTCAGATGCTGAATGCCTGGGCTCCATCTAAATATTAGCGGAGCAAGCAAAACCACCCTTCCTACCTACATCACCAGGATAATATCCTCCCCCCCCTTCCCTACATGCACAGGCTCACTCTCTCTTTTTTTTTTTCTTTCCCATTATCCCTTTAAAGCAGAGCAGGGCTGCTGATTACAAAAGAGGCAGTTTGACTCCAGCAATAGGTCTTCTTCACTAATCCTCACTGTCATGGAAATTCCAGCTGCTACAAGAATAAGAGGCTCAATCCATATTTGCCAGCTCTAATATGAAATCTGTCAGGGCCCAAATTAATGAGTTCCAAATTCCTTACATCACGATAACAGGTTAAGACTGGTCAATTAATTACATAAATCCTTCCCGATTCATTGTGCATTTTCAGGCGAGATTGTGTCTTACATTACTCCATGACATAAGGCCTTTTGGCTCTTGTTGTTCCGCAGAAAGGCCCCCATTTAAGCACAGCCTGCCTGCCACCGCCAAGTGGGAAATGTCACACGTTAGATTTGCACTTTTCTGTAATTGCTTTTGTTAAAGAGAAAAAAAAATTAAATTAAAGAGCTTAGCGCTGTTGTGCCACCAGGAGGAAGTGGGGGCTGGGGCTGGCAGAGTGGGACCCACGGAAAGGCATTGCCTCAGGCCCCGGCCAGCAACACTTGACCAGCACGCACTGGGGAAAGGGCATCTGGTGAGACTTTTTGCAGCCATCGCTCACCTTCCCTGGCTGATGTGCCTGCCGCCTTGGGAGGCTGGCTGGGCTTGAAAGGGAGGGAGTTGGAAGGAGAAAGAAAAAAAAGAGGGGGAGGATGGGAAGCAATAAAACCATTAGGTTTTCTGTGTCTGGTAAATATTCTATAATCTCCGCCTCTTGGGAAAATTCCCATAGAAAACAGAAGGGCCCTGTCACCCACCGCGGAGATTTAGTAGGTTTTTAAGAGGGGTTGGGGAACAGCTTGCTGGAGCTGCTGGCAGAGCTGCAGGGAGGGTGGGGGGGCGCGGGCGGCGCCGGCTGCCCGGCGGGACGCGCTCCCCGCGCCTCCGAGCGCCCTG